AATGGGAGGGGAAATGTTGGATTTTTCGAAATAAAACAGAATCCTAGTAAAAGTGAGAGCATGAAATGATGGAATAATAAAAGTTCCTATTCCTAATGTTAATAGCACTTATCGATAAAACTTTGGACTAAAATACGATTCGGGCGTGTCCACGCTCCGAATACCAGCTTAATTGAAAAAAAAAAGTGATTCTGTACACATACACGCATAGTGAACAATACATCGATACAGATTTTGAACAGATCAACAAAAAGAGTGTAAAACAATTGTAATAAAAATTCAATGGAGAGGGTAAAATATGGAAAAAAGGCAACAATCTAGAGGATGTAACACATTCAGACCTAAAACGGCATCTGATAGATGAAGAATTGAAGGGAAGAACAATCGTAAAAAAAAAAAAAAAAAGAAAAAACAATGAAACTGAAAAGCGACAGGGGAAAAAAAAGAACAGTTTTAAGCACGGCCAAAAAATCATTTATGAGAGATAGGGCCAAATCGCAACATAGAAGCAAGAAATAAAAAAAAAAAAAAAACAAAAAAAAAAATAGTTCATTTGCATAAGTAAGGATGTCGACTTAAAAAAAAAAAAAAAAAGCATGACACGCGACTAATTAATGTAATCCCATTTGCTGGGAATACTTGATCCAGAAGTAGTATGAGGCAGCAAAAACAATAAGACATCAGGGCAGAGAGAGAGAGAGGGAGAGTCAGAGCCGGTATAATTTCCAGCAATAACTGAAAACAAAACGATCAGCGACATTTTAAACCTCATTTTTTTTTTTTTTTTTTTAAAGTGACTATTCCACTTTACATGTCGCAAAAGATATAGCGATTTTTTGAGAAGGGACAAGGGCAGCAATACGATCGAGGGAAATTTCGTACTGATCTCTGCGACATGACATAGTGCGAATAGAAATTAACAGTGAAAAAAAACATACACAAACAATTTACTTAAGGCGTTGACTTGAGGCACGACATAGCAGAACAGTGTGTATCAGCTCAAATTCGACTTCAAATCTGCTAGTTTGCCCGATAAGAGGAGGCAAAAAAAAGATTAAATTTGTGAGCAATAAAATAGCAAAAGTGAAAGACTACTAACTACAGTTATTCACATATATAATATGACAATTCTCAAAAAAAAAAAAAAAGAGGAATATGTAGGATCCTTTTACAACAATACAAGTAAAACACACAAAAGAGAGAGAGAAAGAGAAACAAAAAATGTTAATATAATGAACATTTTTTGAAGGATTACTTCAAATCAGGAATAACATGATCTATTAAGCACATTTGAAAGGCGCATGAACTGTAATAATAATAATAATACTACTATGAGGAGGTTTCCGGCATTAATGCATAACAAATTATTTGTCCATACTTTCCCGTCCTCGAGGACTGTTTGATGAGGGCGAGCCTGAACTGTGCTGTGTGGAGTCGGTGGTGAAATTTTTGATTGAATTCCAAATTTTCGATAACTGTGGCACTGGACTCACAGATAGCGATGTTGCTGCTGTATTATACAGTAAATCTGTCGACGATCCTGAACGGCTTGTCGACAAACCATTCGTCTGAGTTTCTAAACCACTTCAGTTTTCATGTGTTTACGTAAATCAAATTAGCTGCTTGCCATTTCATATTATTATTGTTGTTATTGTTATTATTATTATTATTATTATTATTATTATTATTGATATCATTATTATTGTTATTATCATTATTATTATTGTCACTATCACTATTATTATTGTTATTATAATTATTATCATTACTATCATCATCGTCACTGTTATTATTATTGTTATTACTATTATTACTGTTACTAATGTCAGTCGATAAACTTCGCGTCCCAGTGAGTGGTACCGGTAATAAAAGTGAACGACCCCACTCGGATGGCCTTTTTTGCAAAGCATATACACGGAACGCCTATTCAATGCGTCCGTGAGTACCAACCAAGATTATAGCAGAGCTGCACCTCAAGTATGAGAGTACTCCAGTGAGATCGCTAACACCCGGTTTTTTACCTGAGCGGTCTATCATTTTCTTAGTAACTGTTAATGTAGTCATTAATTAACATTGTTATTAACATTATCATCATCATTAACATTACTAGCAACTTTTTTAGTTAACTGACATTTTGCAATATGCGTTTGTTTGGCAACGTTTATTAAGTCGTATATGGTAAAATTAGTCATCAAAAGATGCTGTACATAAATGCACAACCGAATGATACCAATATCCGTTTGAGTACCAATGGAATATTGCTTCCCAAGCTTGCAAATCAAGGAAATAAACTACCAGCAAACATCTAGTGGGCCAGATCAAACAAAAATATCAGGTCTGTTTGGGCGGAAAGCAATTACCGTGAAATCTTGACGTCTTGCGCGAAGCTTTGTGAAATTTT